ATCTTTTCAGATTCTTATAGCTCGAAATCTCGCTCAGATTACGATTAAAACCTTAAGGTTTATTACCTACCATAGATGAAGTATGATATTGAAAATCTAGGGAAACACTCAAATATTCGCCCACATTTTCTCCCATATAAAGTTCTCCCATAAAGTTTTGACAAATTCTCAGAAAAATTAAAATTTTGCATTATACCAGAGGAATTTAAGGCTTATATTTATATTTATTATTATTTCCTTCTTCGATGATGGCGATCCTCAAAAATTTTAATTTTCAAAAGATATTAAAATTGAAATTTTCCGCTTTTTTTATTAGTATCTAAAAAAACAGCTCACTGAATAACGGAACTCATCGCAGACTTTAAATTATTTTCTTTTCGAAATATTTTCGATACGAATGATATATGGAAATGATACATATTAGAGATATATAAAATTCTTTAAATTCTTTAAATCTTCACATATTTTGTATTTTTATTTATATTTTGTATTTTGTATTTTTAGAATATTCTATTATGATATGATATATAATATGAAAAAATTTGCATTATTTCATGCACCCAAAATTATTATGTGGTTAACAATTATCTATGGCTTTCTCCACAGTCTGTTGGCAAAATAAGATAATTATACTGTTTACCTGGAGAAAGAAGTATAGATGGGGTTCCTCACAACGCTCTGATCTTATTTTTAATGCCAATTTTACCGTATCTTTGTGAAACAATCAAAAACATTTATCTGGAGGGAGTAAGAAAAAATCGCAAATTTAATCCGATTATCTTCAACCTTATTACCTACCATAGATGAAGTATGATATTGAAAATCTAGGGAAACACTCAAATATTCGCCCACATTTTCTCCCATATAAAATTCTCCCATAAAGTTTTGACAAATTCTCAGAAAAATTAAAATTTTGCATTATACCAGAGGAATTTAAGGCTTATATTTATATTTTAAGATTTCTGAGGATCGAGCTCAAATTCTTCGAAATTTTACTTTAAATACCATTAAAAATTCCTAAATATCTGAACTTGTAAATGTCATAATTTTAATTTTAATAACTTCATAAACTAAGAAATAAACAGATTAATTCAATTTTTCTTCATTTCTTTATTTTATTTTAACAGTTTTTAAATTCAATTTTTAAACGAATGCGGAAATCTCAATTTGATAACAAAGTTCTCATATAAGAAATGCAACCAACTCTGCCAATAAAATGCGCGTAATATAAAGATAAAAAAAAAAGGATTAACAAAACATAAGTGCAAGCATTTTTTAAAATATTTACTACTAAATGTTTACTAAATATTTTAAATTTAAATGAAAATTTCCGAAATTTACTTACAAATTTACTTACAATAAAACAATAAAAACGACTCCATTGAAATTACGAATATTGACAATTTGCCGTGCAGTGGATGAAAAATTTAAATTATAAATTACAAATTGCGCAGTTAGCAAATATTTAAAAAAGCTGGATTATCGTAAAAGTATTGCCATGTATTTTTTTAATGAAATAAAGCATTTATCTGGAGGGAACAAGAAAAAATCGCAGATTTAATTTAATTATCTTCAACTTTATTACCTACAAATCGGTTTTCTAGAAAATAAGGCGACAAACAAACCACAACTGTCAACAAGGCGCATAAGTTTGATAAGCAAATGAATGACCGCATCATGGAAATAACTGATAAGCATAAAATAGGAATTGGAAACCGAAAATCCGAAGTTAAACCATTGCAACTCTTAAAAATTATTTTGAATTTACTTTTCTTTAAGTTTTGAGGCATGAATTCCTATCTTCATTTCAGGTCATATCATTAACAAAGGTAAGTATGGAAAAATATTGAAAAATGAATAAGAAAAGAACTGACCAATCTTAAATTACGGGTTTTTAAATGAAATATCAACATAAATCCCATAAAATAGGCTAAATAGTGTAAAGGATCTTCATAAACTGCATACGGACCATATTTTAAAAGATTCCATATGCTACTGATTCCAAATGGTAACGAAAATATAAATGACAATGCACATAAAATGAGGACAGATATCTCTGGCGTAAACCATTGGTACATAAAATTTTTCTGCATTTGAGTAAATCTTTTAAAAGAAATCTGAAAAAAAATTTTTTTTTTCAGATTTATCTTTACGAATTTATCTTTACGATCTCTTTAAAGAAATAAGGGATCCAAAATGATTTACTGATCAAGATTGACCCCTTTCCAAATTAATTAAATGAAACAATCAAAAAAATAAAAATTGAATAATTGAAAAAATATATAAAAAACCTCAGAAAATTAATTAACTCACAATGAAAAAATATATAACAAAGACTGAATAGGAGAAAAAACCATTGTAAAAATAATTGATCAGTAATCCAGTCAATATAAAAAATAAATTATGTAAGCGAATTTTATTCGACTCATCCTTTCTAAAAGTTTATTCTATAGAACTCCATAGAAATTACTGACTTAAAATAATTTTGCACAATTCCAAATTAATATAAATAGAAGCTTTCAAAACAGTTTCTTATAAATAGTTAGAATAAGAAAGAAAAAAATCTTACATAAAATCTTACCTGTCATGGTGAACCAAATAAAATAAAAAATGAGCGATTTCTTTGGTTAAAGTAAAAAGAAAAATGGTAGCAAATGAAATAACGGGAGTTGAACATATTAGAAAAAGCCAATCATTCACACTACAAATAAAAGTTACTGGAATGCAAAATTTCTTGATTATCTTTCTGACTGACGAAATTTAGTGTAGCTTAAACAATAAGAAGTATTAAAGGTTCAAAATCGAGCTGCGAAGGTGAATATATATGACCATACCCATACCACTGACTTCTACAAGTTAATTACAATGAAGTTTTGATTCAAAATTTAAGATTTCCACATTTCAAATCAAAAAATCAAAAAACTTCATTGAATGAAAAATCATAATCTTCAACGTAAAAGAATTAGTGCTCCTCGATGTCACCTGAACTAAAACCGTGCTAAAATAATGAAATAATTCTAAAATAATAGCAATTCAGCTTTTAAAATAAAATTCGGTCGGTTATATCATAATTTCAAAGATTAGCATCATTCCTAATAATTATATCTGAATTATACTTGAATAAAATTCGAATTGCTCGCTTAATCAAAATTTACATTTAAAAATAAAATAAATTTTAAGGACTAAGAATACTGATGAATTAAATAATTATATCTGAGAAAATAATAAAATTTACATGAAACAATGAGTAAACAACAACTAACATCTTATTTACTGCAAAAATCAATCCGTATAAAATAGTAGATATAATAAAAATTTTCTGATCGTTATGTTTGCCTAACACTGCAAATAAATTTTTACCACGAAAACACTTTCGCTATTAAAAGTTATTTAATTAAAAATTTTGACGAATTTGCAGGAAAAATTTCCATTAAATTTAGCATCAGTTAAAAGTGTATGGTATAATAATTATATTCGACTCTACAGTACAATTGCAAAGAGACTGAAATACCTCTGCCAAATAATGATGTCACAGATAAAACACACAAAACATGCAAAGTAATCAACAGAGGTATAATGAATGCATATTTTTGCAGCATCTGAAAATAAATCTAAAGTATTTTATATCATTACCAGAATAATCTTTTGAAATGAAAAAATATAACTTTTGATTTTGTTTTCATAAGATTGATAAAAATAAATAAACAAACGAGAAATATTGTGTTGAAATAACTAATGGAAATTTCAGCATAGAAAGAACAGTCAGAATCGAGAATAAAAAGCATTCTGGAGTGTTTCTGATCAACAAAATCAAATCCAATAACTGATTCGTAATTATTAAGTTGATAACTGACACGTCTCAAATATAGTGAGGAAAATTCGATGCGATATTTACCTAACAAAATTGAATTGAAAATTAAATAAATCAAATAATTATAAAATTATAAAAAACTCTTTAAAATTATAAAATTCTTTTCATTATATTAATAATTAAAATCACTTATAATTTACGAAAATCACCTGTTTTTTTCTTATCACATTTTATTAACTTCAATTTTGCTTCCACAGCAAGAGAAGCTGAATGAAAATTCAGTGGAATATCCACAGCCAATTGCCGACCAAATAAATTAGCTCGCCATAAACTAGAAAAAATTCCCAGAAAAAAAGCATAAATCCCAATATCTAATCTCTGAAATTTTTTTTTTTTTGAAGCATTAGGAAAGCTCTTCATAATAATATGATAAACTATGTGTGGCAAAAAAATTAAAATAAACTTTACTACTTGATCAATCAAAAAATATGAAAATAATTAGATGAATTTTATGATTTTTCAATAAATTTCTTCAATTCAAAAATGTTGTACCATATATCATAATAATTACATTAACAAAAGGTTTCAATGAGATTGCTTTCACAGTTCGCTTTGAGTCCAGGTATAAAAGTAATTCTAAATTCGACGGACTTATTAAAGCGTAATTGTATCGGCCCATTGTGTGTATTTCAAAAGAAGACCCATTTCGTCGTATAGCACATGAAGACAATCCAGTGAAGATAATAAATGTCATGGCACTAGAAGACAAAGAAAAATCGTACAGTACCGTACTATTCTCTTTATTTTTCTTCTGAAGAAATTCATATTATTTATTATTTATGAAAGAAAGACTGATGAATTAGCTGTCCTTTTCAGAGTTGTATTTTTCGGAAATCAATTGATAAATACAGCCACTAAAAAGATCCATAAATAATCCATAGATCCATAAAAAGATCCATAATAAATATAATTTCGCAAAAAAAACTGGACTCACAAAGAATAATGAAGTGTTGACTGAAAAACTTTCCACCGACCCCATAAAATCTTTCCAGTCATTGCAGATTTTGCCATTAGAATAATATAATTGCTTAATTGTATTATCAATTCGAATGGAAAAATCACTTGGTGAAGCTGCATAATCGAAAAGAAAGCGCGATAAGTGTCTAGAAAAATTCATTATTTATAAGAATTATTTATTCACATTATTATTCATTAATATAAATAAATAAATAAACAAATTTAAAATAGAATTCAAAAGTATGAAAAAATACCTTTGCAGTTGATTACACCAAACGATGCATAAATGATCAACTTCGACTTCTACTGTATCGATAGAAGTTGTTGAAAAATGATGAATGCCTGAATCTTGAGTTAAGTGTTCAGGGACTAATATATCTTTTAATCCACCTGATATCGAAATGACTGTAATATTTTTTATTTGTTCCGCTCGTTCTTTCCATTCCAAACGCATTTTCTCGTAGAATCTTTCCATGTAGTAATCAAACACAAAGGCTAAATAATAGATAGATAAATGAATTTGAGTCAAAAATTAAAAAGTCAAAGAAATAAATTAATTAAATAGGCTGACTAAGCTCAACTTCAAAAGTTGTAAATTTAAAAATTGCTAACAAAATTAATAAATGATGGATTGATAAAAATAAACCTTTTTAAACCTTTCAGGCGAACGAACAAAAAATTATCATTATGAAGATGAAATAAAAATAATAATGTAATAACATACGAGGAGCACTATGTGGAGTGGCAAGAGTAATTGCCAGCGATATCCGTGATAAATCAAAATCATGACTATAAAATAATGATCGAATAATAATACCACCCATTGAATGTCCAACAAATATAAGCCCAACTGGTTGTGGTGAATACATATTCCATATTTTGTCAACAGCTAATCGAAGAAATCGAATTTGTCTTTCCAGGTACATTCCTGATATCCCAGATAATTCCTAATAAATGCCAAATTTAACGAAATTAAAAGAAATGGCTTGGCAATCCAAATATTCTTTCGTCACTACTGAAACTTCATCCGGATTTTCTGAATGCATAACGGTGAATCGAAAAAAATTAAAATAAAATTTAAAAATTGGCTTAATCTTTGAGAAAGAAATTACAAAAAATGCCCCTTACTGAAAAAAATTTGCTAGAGAATCTTTAAAAAATAATGCAAGATAACCAGAGCCATGTGTTCATATATATAAAATAGAGAATACAGCCTATTCTTTGCACTTTTGTGAAAAATTAGATATAACAGTCATGTAAAAATAAAACTGTCAAATACCACGATAAATTAATGAAGGCTAAATTATAAGTGATAAGCCCATTAATACCTTCCACCAATTTCATAATTTATATACGTTCAACTTAAAATTAAATCTAAAATCAAAATTGAGTTTACCTGATTGAAATCGATACCAAAGACATCAAAACTGAAAGGAGAATTTCTGTTTTCAGTTTTATTATGAAGAATTGAACCAATGGAACGAATCTGCTCAACCGAACCGGAGCTACCGGGGACAAAAATTACAGGAATTCCAGAAACTTTACGCGACGATCTAAGAAAAAAATGATAGGACCAAAACAATAATAGTGAAAAAAATAAAAAATTAAAAATCAACAAGAAATCTATGGAAAAACTTTTCTTTCTATTTATTTTATAAAAGTTAGTCACTGGTTTTACACAGTAAACTTAAATCATAAGACTTATTTAATGGATTTTAGTAACTTTTTTGAGTGGCAAAAATTATGGAAAATTTTCATAAAAACTTTAAAAATTTAAAAATTTGGGAAAAAAGAAAGAAAAAACCTACAAAAACCTACGAGCATATTCACCTTCACCATATAAAATCAACCGATAAGATCGGAAATCATTAGAAAAAGGAAAAAAAACTCGACTGTCGTCTCTAAATAACGAAGTGTTTGCATCCACTGGGATAGGCTGAAAAAAATTTAAATTTCTAATTTCTGGAAAAAACCCTAATTTTCGAAATTTCTTAGACTTTTTCAACAGAATTTTAATATAATCTTAAATGTAAAAATTCTTGCTTTTTTCACTTTTTTATTCCTTAGTTTTACGAAAATTAGTGAGGAAAAAAAATTTTTTAAATTTTTCTTCTCGAATTTTCAGACTCGATTGAAAAAAAATAATATGGATTTATAGGAAAGTGCGACTATTTCGGCTGTACGAGTAGCAATATTTTATACTTTTCAGATGGATGGTGTAATAAAAAAAGGAAAGGATTGAGAGGGAGGAGAATCAGTCGAATGAAAACTGTAAAACCACGAGCAGGATGGACCGTGCTATGAAGAGAATGCAGAGCATTCTTAGTTTGAATGTCCAAAAAAATAAGAACTTCAGCAAAAAGAAACAGCGGAGGTGGAAGAACCACGAAAGAAGCAGAGGAATGAGAAGAGAAACTGACGAAGAAGCAGAGAAATACGAGGTCGGGAGAGGAGGGACGGGACGGCAAACCGCGACTTCTCGGAAACGCTGCCCATATAACCGAAAAGTACTAAAAAGCAATTAACCATATAATGCATACGTCGATAAATATAAGTCATATCGCATCGATTAATATCGGACAATTTATTCACTAAAATTTTATACAACAAAACAAATAAAATAAATCCGAAGGACAATGTAATTATCACTGAAGAATTCATCTAAAAAGAAAATTCACAAAAATAAAATTTTTGTTTCAGCAAAACTTTAATTAATCATCAAATAAACTGATCCTGAAAATTAATAATAAAAATAATTGCATTTCAGATTTCTTATCAAAATATTCAAAATTTCCAAAAAAATATTCATTTTAATTTGACTATTTTTTAGATTATTTCTTAACGAATCTGAAGAGAATTCGGAAGAACGTCCGCCAACCACCCGCCTTCCAACCCCTTTGCCAGTAACTCTGCAACATATAATTCGAATTCCGAGATGAAACACCAAAATCACGTTCCGCGCCTGAATTTCAGTCGCAAGCCGTCGAATAGAAAATAGTAAAATTCGGATACTCAGATTATTCAGCTGCGGCTTCATTTTTGTAGTTGTCTTCATGCTTACTTTGGTTTTTTGTGAATTAAATGAAGCTGGTTTATTGCGATTATGTAGGCACAATACAGGTGTTTTTTGTATTAATTCGGGAGAAGACGGCTTTCATTGTAGGAATTGCTGGGAATTGCTAGGAATAGTGCATCTCCGGCGAAATCTGAAATTTCGAGGTGAATTTTAATGTCGGTAAATTTTGCTTTCATTATATGTCCTACTTAAAGATGACTGCCACGGATAGGCAAAGAAGCACAGCGCTCGAAATGGTAAGGTACCTTCGGCTATTTGGCGTCGCTTGCTTGAAAGCAGTGATAAGGCGGCGGGAGAGGCGGCGATGATCGTCGTGCATCCAGCAGATAATAAAGGTAAAAGTATAAGGAAAGAGGCTCGTGGTGGCAGATGCTATGGTGAAAATGAAAATGCTTAAATGGACAAAAAATGAATCAAGTAACTGAAAGAGGAAAGTGAAATCTGGCAGTGGTTTCTGCGATCGGTCAGTTTATGGCGGTGATGCGAAACACTTAGGTGGTACTTTCATTATTGCAATAGCGCTGATTGATTCCACTCACTGCTTGTATGGACGTTTTGGCTAAGAATTACTCGTAGACAGAGTGCAATTGTCTCGTTGTATTATATGAACGTCAGTTTTAGTGATATTTCCTTCAACCGAGCGCATAAAACTTGGTCTAAGTCAGTGCAGTTAAATCAGCGAATGCGGTTACCACTCGATTTCAATTCTAAAGTGTGAAATGGTCATTTGCAACCGTTGATTCTTGTCAGAAAGCTATATTATAAGTAAAGAAGCAGTCGATGTCAATTCAGTTTAATGATAATGAAAATGAAAATTTAGTCTATGAAATGAAATTTTTGATAAAAATTTTTCGGAGAAGAGGAAGAGACGTTTCCAAAGATCTTTTGCTGAATTTGTTGCTGAAAGTAAATTCTAAAAAATTTACAAAAATGTCGCAATATTAAATTTTTAGTGATTTTTAATTTTTACCTCAGAATTTTTTCTGAAATTTTTTATTTCCTTTTTGAACAGTTTTCAATTTAAAATCCTTTTTTTCGTGATTTTCATTGTTTGGCGATTAAATTCATTACTTTTAATCATTTGATTCTAATTCTTATTTTTAATATTTCTATTCGCTTTCTCTAAATCGATTTCTTTCTTTTCCTTTATTTTATTAGTTGTTACTAATTTTGAAAATTTTGTTGTTAGATTCTCGATTTTTTTTTAAAGAAAAATTAGTCGAACGAAGAAAGAAATTTATTGATAATTTATTGAAAAAAATTAAGGGAATCGAGAGAATGTGGTGGCAGCGAAGAGATTTTACAAGAAATCAACCTATCGATGGTTTTTGGTACTTCAAAATTCATAATTAATTCTTACATGAATTTTATTTGTTGAAATATTATTAATTATAAATTATTAAAATATTCAGTCAAAGATTACAGATAGTGTTTTAATGAATTATAAGGCAGATAAATTATAAGATATAATAAATTATAAGATATTTAAAGTATTTAGTAAATATTGGAATGGCTGTTTTTATATTAAAACTTCACTGTTTTTTAAATGATTCACTGAGGAAAAATAATTTTTTTTTCGTCTGAAAAGTAATTTAATTAAAGCATTTTCGAGTTGATTTTCCAGTGTGAAGTCGCATGAATGGTTGAATGGATCTTTTACTGAATTTGACTATCGTTAATCGTCTTTTTTCTCTTTAAATATACTTTTATGAATTTATGATTAGTAAAGGTTAAACAGAATTATTGCTCAGAGTTATTGCTTTAAAAAACTATCGAAGTTTCTTGCTTATGGCAAAAAATTGTGAAGTTAAAAATCATGTGGATTGTTACTTAAAGTATTCACTGAACGATCGTATTCGTTGATGAATTTTTAATTTTTTTAAAAAAATAGGAAAGAAAGATTAAAATTTCACCGTGTTTTTCTTAACTTTCTTAAAATTTGCAGCGCGTATTCATGTTCACGCAGTGCGTTCATGCATCAAAAATTGCTGCAGTCGGCTGCTGCATTTTTTGATTTTTTGTAACGACGGTGTGATAAATCTTGGAACAGTAATGTCTTTCCGACCGAACTGTAAAGAAATGGAAAGAAAAGGGGAAGAGTCAGAAATAGATAGAAAAGAAATAGTCCTCTCGAAAAGACGGAGTATGACGTAGGAGTCGCGATGTGCATTAATGGCTAATAAGCTAGATTAGCATGGCGAATTTATTGATGCGATTTTAGTCGAGGATAGCCACGATCCGATGGCATACCAGTAAGTGGCACTATGCTTTAAACAGTCTTAGAGGAGAAGAGATCAAGAGACTGTATCGTCGGTCCTGAGCATTCTCATCGTCCACCAGTTATTCTTAGTGTTGAACTCGAAGTTTGCCTGCTCTACCTCATCTTCATTCGGTAATCTATTGAATCTATTTTTCTTCGAAGCCATTTATTTTTTATAAATCTTTTATAATAATAAACATAAATTGTTAGAAATATTTCTTGTAGCGTAGTTTTTATATGTCAAGCATTTATCTTTGTTTAGAAGAATTTTAAAAATTTATCATGCATAGATTATTACAGTTGTAGAATTAAAACATACTTATAAAACATACACTATTTCTTTTCAGAGAGCGGCGATAAGATTCCATCACTGGTGGATTAGAGTTGTATAAAGTTCATTGTTATGCAACTTGCAAATTTGCAAATCTTAATTTCCATTCATTCCACTTTTTAATAGTGAATTTGCAAGGTTATTTGCACTTTTTTAAATTATTCTTATCGTTTTGGAATATTTTCCTTTTTTTATCCCTTTTAGTCCATTTTGTTTCTTTTCAGTTGTCCATTATCCTTTTTTAATTAGTTGGTCATTTCTTTGAAGCAATCGCTAGTTGCCGTTTATTTCATACGCACAAAAATTTTAGTTATTAAGAAAATAGCTGAAAATGTGGCGAAAAAATTTCTCAGTTCCACGAAATTTTTTTCACAATTTTTTTAAAAAGCCACACTCTTAATTATTTATTATTTTCAATGTTAAATTAATTTTTAATTTTTGTATTGAAATATTTAAAAGAAGCTTAAATGAATAAGCATTTCACATTTATTGTGTTAATAGTAATTTTGATAGTTTTCCTATTAAAAAAGAGAAAAATAATTAAATTTCACACAGTTATTTGGAAAATCGAAGTTAATATTGTTTCTTGGAATGCTCCAATTTTTAATGCCTTCTAACATCGCGAAGCCTATAAATCCATATAAGCCAATTTTACTAAGGCATTTTCTTTTTTTGCTGCTTTCTCGAATTCTTTTATTTTTTCATTTGTCTAAAATTTTATTTAATTTCCTATTAAAACCGATTTCATTTTGCATTACATTTCGTTTCACTGCATTTTTTAAAACTAAATTTTGAATCGTTTGAGAATGGTGCTACTGCGATAATTCCTATTAGATTTGTGATTTATGTATTTTGTGTTATTTTTTAAATTTTATCGTATGAAACGTGACGATAAATGTTATGTAATTAATCTTCATTATTGGCGAATGCTTATTTGGCATTTGATTTGATATTTCCATATATTTTTTGAAACGCAGTAGTTTAGTAGTTGTTTTTTTTTAGCGCACTTATTTATAAAAAACTGAGGGCTCAATTTCGATAAATTCGGGAATGATTAGATTTTGGAATGAATTTCTAATTGAAATGTTCGGAGAGATTTTCGTATTTAAAAGGAAAATGAAGAAAGTTGGAGGAAAAGCGAATTTGGAGGATTTTGACTGTTGCTTTCATGAACGAGTAGAATTTTGTCAAAATTTTGTTTAGTTGGCAACTTTAAGGTTACTTAAACTTTAAGGATGAGGTTGAGATTGGATAGTCTTTATGATTAAATCGTTTTCTGTTTTTGTTTTCGAGATATATTTAAAATTTTAGATATGATTTAGGGTCATCGAAAATGATTCGCTTTAATGACAGATTCGATAGTTGTTTCGAGCAATAATTTAAGATATTTGCCCTTAATTCCGTGGTTTTAGATCATCGAAAAAATATATAAAGCGCTGTAAATCAGCGCATTGATGGCTTATTTTAATACAGCATCATTAACGCAGTCTGAACTTGAACATCTGGCATTTCTTCGAGCCAAAAGAGCAGCGATCAACGATGACGTTGAGGTTCTCCTAACATTGTTTTTTCAAATTCTTTTTTTCTGAAATTTTCTTGAGGTCCATTTCTCACAGATTTGAGCCGTTGACTTCAGATTTGCTGATATCTTTTTTTGATTGCAGAAGTGCTATATCTTCTTCGGAAAAATTAGTTAGTTAGGTGAGTTTTTCAAAAATTTGTCAATATTTGTTGTTTACTTAACATAAAAATTTGATTTTTATGGTTTGAAATTTTCAGGAGATACGATCAGAATTGGATGAAATTAATGCTCAGTTGTCTGCTATCGATATACCTGATGATGAGTAAGTTTTTTTGCCACAATATTCATTTTTCATTTTTAAAACAAATGTGCTTTTTTTGATTGTTATTATTTCTTCAAAACATTTAAAACTCGGCAACTTGAATATGATTCTTTTTCTAACTTTAGATGCAATCCTAGTGGTAGGATAATGTCAATTGCGCGGAAAAATTTCAATATGGACCCTAGAAAAGGAATGTCATATCTCATCCAACATGGTCTTGTTGAAAATAATGCTGAATCTGTGGCTGAATTCCTCTTCCGCGGCGAAGGTCTTGGTTTTTGAAAATTCTATCGTTTTGCATGCATTACAAGAAAGTTTGCAGAAATGTGGTATTTGTTGCTTATCTGAATTTCTATGTATCCTTTTTTCTCTCTGTTGTACATTTGCCTCATTTGCTTTTTATCTTACCTCGTTTAGCTGCTTCTTATTTATGCTTCTACTGTCTCCTCTCCAGTCGTTGGCCCGCAGCACTGTATATCTAAATTTCACTATTTTTCACTGTTCTTTTTATTATTAAATGTTTCATTTTCTTTTTTTGTTATTTCGAAATTCATCAAAAAATTTTTATTCAAATCAATTATTTAAATTATCTTCTATCAATTCTGAATCATTGTTGTTTCTTTAATTTGTTTTATTTTTTTTAATTGTTTTGCATTTGCAGGATTACGAAAAAGCGCTGTTGGTGATTATCTCGGTGAAAATGAACCTTTTAATTTGGAGGTTTTGGAAAAGTTTTGCGATTTACATGATTTTACTGATCTCATTTTAGTGCAAGCTCTTAGGCAATTTTTCTGGTCTTTTCGCTTGCCTGGAGAATCTCAGAAAATTGATAGAATGGTCAATGCATTCGCTAAGCGATATTGTCTTAATAATCCGGGTGTATTTTCAAGCAGTGGTGAATTTTTTCTATTGTATTCTATTTTTTAGCATTTCAATATATTTCGCGACTATTTTAACAAAAATAGGCAAAAAATTTTGATTAAATTTTTATATCCTCGACTTGTTTCAGATACATGTTATATATTATGTTTCGCTATTGTTATGTTGAATACTTCTTTACATAATCGTAACGTCAAAAATCCGCTGACTTTGGACAGTTTTATTTCATTATATCAAGGAATCGATGAAGGCAAAGATGTGCCTAAAGAATTACTTGAAGTTATTGATTTTTTAATAAAAGGCTGAATTTAATTTTTACTGTACTTCTTTATTTTACGTGCTTTTTTATTTTTAATCTTTTAAAATTTTTTATAAATATAGTTTTAAGGGCATTTATGAGTCAATCAGAGTTGAACCATTTCAATTTCCCAGTGACGACGGTAGCGATTTTTATAACACATTCTTCAATCCAGATCATGAAGGATGGCTTTTGAAACAAGGTAGCCTTTTACTTTAATTTTTTTTGGTTATGTTAGAAATAAACTAATTATCTATCTAAGAACAAGTATTTTCGATGCGTCCGTTTATCTTTTTTAGCAGACTTTGAATATTTTATAAGACTATATTCAAATATTTATTTAAGATTTTTATTATTATGATTTAGCATCATCACAGCTAGCAACTTCTCGCCCATTTTTAAAATCTTGGAAACGTCGATGGTTTATTTTGGCAGAAAAGTGCTTATACTACTTTGAACATACGACTGTAAGAAATTGCGATTTTCCAATTTGTTCTTTATAAATTCACTGAATTTCAAACGCTTAATATTGTTTTGTAAAATTTTAAGGCAAAAGAACCACGTGGAATAATACCTTTGGAGAATGTGCGAGTTCGTCAAATTGAAGAAAAAGGTCGGCCTTATTGTTTCGAAATTTATAGCGATAACACAGAGGTTAGTCTTGTCAATTTTTTTCTTTTATTAGCGCCGGTTTAAACTCTGTTATTTCACAACTACATTTTACTCTTTTGATGAAACTAAAAAAGTTTAAAAGAAAATTTTTATTGAGGTGATCAAAGCATGTAAGACCGAGGCAGATGGTCGAGTAGTTGTCGGAAGACACACGTCTTATAAAATGTGCGCATTTTCAGTAGATGATATGAATCAGTGGATAAATGCCATTGAGTTTGTTTTTTGCATTCAGTACATTTAAGAAATCGAAAAGAATTTGCCGTGCATTCTTGAATAATTGAATATATTATCAGTAGAATATCACCATCAAATTTTATTGCAGAAAATATTCAACACGTTATATAATTATATTATAATTTTCACATTATAATTTTTAAAATTGTTTTGAATTACTTTTTTTCAAGGAGGTCAATCAATTACGACCCATTCTACCAGATGCTGCAACTCAAGAAAATGAAACTAAAAGGTAAAAGTCGACAATCAGATTAAAACATATTCGCAAAATGTTATTGCAGAAGCGTCAAGAAGATTACCACTATCACCGCTTTTTCAAAATTTATGAATTGACATTATGGATAATTGCTGTTATTCTGGTTATAAATTTAGAGAATCCTTCTTTCATCGATTTTTCTCTTTCTAGAGATAATTTTTTTTTCCTTCCTTCTTTTAAGATATTTAAGATATCTTTTGCTCATAATCGGTTGTTTTATAAAATACTACTTAGCTTTAGAACATTATCGACTGATTATTTTATGTGAACGACCTCCAGAATATAAAAGTGACCTTCGAAAATGGATACAATATATGTCATCAAAAAGGAAATCCGAATGTTACTACCTCGTAAACTACATATTTGTTGTCATATACATTCATAAGTTATCATTACCATATTTTACGAAATTTCTACCTAAGAGCTTTCATGGAACGTTTATTATGTATTATAGTAATATATATGGGGTTAATTTAATCACTTTTTATTTATCCAGTTAATATTCATGTATATATATATATATAGTTCAATTCTCTTTAATTTGATATTTAACGATTATTCTTACCAAATTTGTCAATATTAGTATATTATACTAGAAATAAAGAAAAAATTTTGCCATAAATAATGACTGGCAAATATCCGTTTTTTTAAGTTCTATTTTTTCCCAAATTTTTTGGAGAGCCTTATTCACTTTGGTAAAATAACGATTTATTAATACCTTTATTCATTTCTTTGTAGAATTTGAAAAAAAAAGCAAACGAAGTAAGAAAAAAGTTAGAAAAGGGATCAAAGATCTTTGTGAAATGAACGTTTTATGGCAGTCGAAGTAAAGACCCACTATATTCCAGGCGGCTTTCTGGTGAGATTGACCCATATTAATAATCTATGAGGTCGGCCAAATTAGAAATGATGAATTTTATTGGAATTGGAGTATTAAAAATTAGATTAAAATAAGACAAGATTGAAGTAGCTGAGCAGATCCATCAAACATTATTAATTGAATTTCGGTTCATTTTCTTACCATAATTTACTGAAAAAAAGTTAGAAAAAAGATAATCAATTCGAAACCATCCATAGAAAATTTTTTACCACTAATTACTAAAGTTTGTATGAAATAAAAAAGATAAAAAAGATAAAAATTTGGTATCGAATTATAGTCATACAGAGAAAAAAAATACAGAGAAAACAAAAATTGCAGAGTTACTACAAAAAAAACGAAAATAATGGAGGACTTCTATGACAAAACAAAAAAGAATACGTAGGATCAACGAAGAATTATTTAGGCTATTTTAACCTAATTAGACTAAAAATTATGTTTTTCAAATGACTTTAAATGTCTTTCCAATAGTTTTGAACGCATTGATGCAACGATCGATTTGTTCACGGCTGTGTGCAGCTGATATCTGTAGCAAGACAACCAATTTTGTTAATAAAATGACAACAGTCCACGGATGAATTCTAAGTGGGCAAGAAATACCTGAACACGTATTCGAGCTTTTCCTTTTGGGACCACTGGATAACTAAATCCAATCACATATATGCCCTCTTTGAGCATTTCATCAGCAAACCTCGATGCCAGCCTGCATAATATAATATTTTATAATTTTTAATAAAAGATTAAAGAATTTTGCTAAAATTACCAACCACGCATCACCTAAGAAAATCGGACAAATTGGATGATCCGGATCGCCCAAAACTTTGAATCCAGCCTGCATCATTGAATTACGGAAATACGTAATATTTGATTGAAGTGAACGAGTGAAATCGTTGGGCACCATCAACATATTCAAAACCTTTATATAATATTGATATTACATTGACTTTTAAAAAACGAATAAAAATAAAAACTAGAAAGTTTTCGCACAGATATTCGACCTTACTTGTAAAGAAGAACCGACAATAGAAGGTGCAAGTGAATTCGAGAAAAGGTATGGACGAGATCGTTGTCTTAACAGATCGATAATTGCTTTCGGTCCCGTTGTGTAACCACCCATAGCACCACCAAGTGCTTTCCCTAATGTAGAATTGATGATATCAACACGTCCTTGAATACCCAATTGTTCTTCAGTTCCTCTTCCAGTCTTCCCAAAAAATCCTTAAAACTTTGGTAAACAGATTTATAATAGTAGATACCTAGAAAAAAGTGAGAAAATTTAGCAAAATGTAGCAAAGAATGCAAAATTCAACTAACCAGTCGCATGACACTCATCGACGAATACCACAGCATTATATTTTTCAGCAACATTGCAAATTTCCTTTAAAGGAGCGACGTCACCATCCATGCTAAACACTCCATCAGTTGCAATTATACGACGGCGACAACCTTAGCAAAAATTCTATTGAGTAAAAAAAATGATGGACTGAAATGTAATATAGCACAAAGCATGAAATTTTTAAAAAATCAAATCCAGAAGTTGAGAGAAACGAAAAAGAATCAACTTTTATAAAAGAAAATCTACCTTGAGTTTCTTTCAAAATCTCTTCAAGATTTTGTATATCCATGTGCTTGTAACGATATCTTTTAGCTTTAGTTAGACGAATACCATCAATTATTGATGCATGATTCAATTCATCCGATATTATTGCATCTTCCTCGCCTATAACAATTGTCATTTGAAAAATGAGATATGAAAATATTTATAATAAAACTTGCTAACCTTGCTTGACTTATTCAAAGTTTTTTCTTACCACTAAATTCCACATACAGGTTTTTATACTGCTTTTTTTAGTTCAACCAGAAAGGCAATAGAATTAATTTTCATTCTGTAATAAACTATCCGTCAAAATCCAGTGATAATATAATCACTGCCACGACGATACCATATGCTCAGAAGTCCTTAAACTTGGCTCCAAGAACTTCATGGGAAACTCCTCGAAATTTTTTTCTTTCACTGCGAATGATGGCAAATTACCAGCGGATATGATTTTAATAAAAAATCGTAATAAAAAATAGAAATAATAGAAATCAAATGCTTTCCACTATTTAGCATTCAGCATTATCATTTTATGAATAGTGCTTTGCCATGCGCAATAAAAAACATTGCGTCTGTTGTCTAGAAGAATCATATAAAAACTGCAAAAGGCCAAAACTGCCCCTTCTAACACTTTGTCAAACCTACAGACTTTTTTTAAAATCGCAAACAAAAAGAAATGAATAATCGGAAAACACACTGGCAATAACTTCAAAAAATCCAGCGTTAGCATCGAAACAAGCCGCATACAATATAGCATCTTCTCGACCATGAAATTCAGCAATTTTTTTCTCCAATGCTTTATGTATATCTTGTGTTCCACAGATAAAACGAACTGAACTCATTCCAGCTCCATGCGAATCCATTGCTTTCTTTCCAGCTTCGATTACTTTCGCATGACTACTCAAACCTTTGAAATTTCCTTTAGTTCAAATTATTCAAGCTATTTCCTCTCATTTCCAAGTTTCGTACAATTTTCGGTGGGAAACAGCCATAATAAAGAAAAAACAAAAGCTTTCTGCATTTATTTGCAGTGAACTCTGGTACGCTCCATCGGCTTGTACGACCAGATAAATTTTACCAACGAGTCACTTGGCGATAAAAATACAGATCAGCTGCAACATCACTCCAATTTATAAAAGATAGATTCCCCGGGATTATAATCCCAGCATTGGTACTCCAAAATGAGAGCAACAATATACTGAGCCATTCCTACTTTAACCAGTTGCAAGATTTTTTCCGAAATCAGATATTATTTCAAGATGATGGGCTTAGTTGAATCCTAAGGAGAGTTTTCCTAGTCAAAATTTATTTAGGCTTAGGCGCACAAGTGACTTCTCCAGGATCACTGGCATTTCATTTTTAATGATAGATCTACAAGTCAACAGTGGTGGACAGAAAATGTTGCATCGACTTTTACTGCAGTAATAAATCACTATATAAAATTAGAAAATTAATAATATTGGCCAAAAAATCAACCAAGATAGTTGTTGGCACAAAAATTAATAAGTGCTTTATCCTGGTTCACGACTCGAATTTCCATTCCTTGCTTTCCAAATATAACTCTCTCATATTTATAAGTACCAGCATCCTAAAATAAATTATGGTTTTAAGGCTAAGAATTACTTCAGCTCTAACTTTTCGATTGTGTTTAGCAGCAAACCTGCCCTAATAACGTTGAAACAATATGAAATATACTGAATACAACTAAAAGACCAGGTAAGAAAGCCAAAAGAGAAAAGGAAATACTGCCCATTTTATCAGAAAGTATTGCCAAAATTTAAAAACAATTTTTTCTTAGATTCAAATGGTTAAATAGTACGGCTAAATTATTATAAAAATATTATAATTATTGTAGGCTAGTTTATGTGGTCATTAACAGAGTTAACACAATTAAAAATTTTTCCCAATTAAAAAATTCGCCAGAGGAACTAATTTTGACGTTAGAAGGACCGCTAACAGAACCGGTACTTTTTAAACAGTAGACCTGCTTGTCTGATGCAGAAAACCTCAGCTCGGTGCGACTTGTAGTAACCACACCACTTTACTTGCTTCAGACTTTCCAAGCATTAAATCCATAACTCCATATTACCATTACCATTCCTTATTCTTTAAAATCATCATTAATGCTGTCTAGCTAATTGTTAGGAAATTCCCAGGAAAAATGCTACCAAATCGATCGAAAAGGCCATCGAACAGGTCACTGAGAATCTAATCGATAAAAAACATTTTAACTAAATGAATTGCATATATGACTATCATATATGATAATATTGATAAATCAATAAAAAAGAATCCTATAAAATTTTTAATATTAAATCTAAATTTTTCTGCAAATTGCAAATTGCAAAATTTTTCTTTTTTGTTCATACATTTTGTGTTTTTCTTCTAAATGTACAACAAATTTTTTCCATGCTTTTTAAGATTTTTTAAATATCACTTTTCCTAAATAACTTTAAAATTTTATTGAATAAAAAAATGAATAAAAATTATTTTAAGAAAAAACAAAGCTAATATCTAAAAATAATTTTCTATAATAACAAGAAATATTTTTAATAAAATAGACCTTAATCGCTTGCAATTCACCGTCGATTGCTGATAAAAAATTTTTCGAATATTTACGGAGTGAAGAGAAAGAAGATCGGAAAAAATTCCCCACCACCATCAACATATCGCCTCTGTTCGAAATTATATTAAACGGTAATGAGAGAAATGAAACGATTTATTCAGGTTTTATAGGGGAACAACCCACATAATTCAATACAAACAATATAGCTGTTGAGGGAATATTTGACACCATGGAAATCCACGCCTTTATTCTATAAGACTCTATTTTTAGTGAAAAACAGCATTTTCGTTCAAAATTAGTAGATATTTGCTAACATTTGAGACACAAATGCATTTGTCCTGTTTGCATAAAGATCCGAATTTCTGAAAACAATCAACTACTGGAAGGAGGTTCCAAGATTCTTCCATTTCTCTCTAAGAAACTGTCGAAAAAATAAAAGAATTGATAATCTGCTGGTGAAAGGTTCGCGAAATATGGTGGATGACTTCGACACCAGTTCAGCAAATTTTTGCGAAGTAATTCTTGCAATATATGTGCGCTCTTGCAAAATTATGAGATCTTTGCCGGCCAGTGCTAACTGCCATATTTGTATTCGAGATATTTTTACTGGTTGTTTTCTTTAGTGTAATTATTGTGCCAGGTTTAGATTTAGGTTAAGAAGCTATAGTGAATCAATTATATATGCTTATATAATTATATATATTATATATATAAGTGTTAGGCATTTTTTTCTTCTTCTAACAGCCCTCACCATTACTGATTAGGCTGGTTCCGATGGCTACAAGGGTAAGGGTCTCCAAGCTCCTCGGTCCAACGCCATCGCTTGTAACAGCAGAAGCCTTTTCTTTTTCCATCGTTCTAAGTCCATAAATCGCTGGTACGCATAAGTATACGTCTCTTTACGTTACGTTTCTTACGTTGCGTTTCTTTATACGTTTCTTATACGTATACGTTTCTTTCTTGACTGTATCAGTCCAAATCTTGGCTCTATACGTTTCTTTCTTGACTGTGTCAGTCCAGATCTTGGCTCTATACGTTTCTTTCTTGACTGTATCAGTCCAGATCTTGACTGGCCCTCTTTGCTTTTGACGCCAACCATCACAGGGTTTATTAAATAATGAAATATGCGTCAATTCCTGCGATGTACGACGTCTCTGCGATAATATTTTTAATGCAAATGGTAGATGAGCGAGGATGAATATAATCATGAGCGATTTTATCCGCTCGACGGATCCGTAAAATATACCTTAGACATAACTGGTCAAAGGCTAAGAGCTTCTTAATATCTTCCACTCTCATTGGCCATGTTCCGTAGCCGTATAGCAAAATCGAACGAATTGCAGCTATATGGACGCGTATTTTCGTCTTTATTCTGATTTCGCGACGGTTCCATAAAGGCTTCATCAACCGGAAAAACATAATGTTAGGCATACGAATGAAAGACAGGTTTTCGCATGGATCAAGAGAACTTAATTTTGTATAGCCATTTCCGAGATTTTTTTCTGTTGTTTTGCTTTCACTGCAAGTAAAAATTCGTTCGAGAATTATTTTTGAGAATTATTTTTATTTACTAGCAACGAACAACAGATCTCCAAACGTATTTTTTGTGTGATGACCTCAGCCAATTCGTGAGGTGCCAGTTTTCTTCCGTTGAAGCGAATGATTCCACACAATTTTATGCAAAATAAAACATCAAGCCCTTATACTAAATCTGCACCACTCTTTTTGGGACCAGCCTTTACCATTTCCTTCAAGGATCTATCTATAGAGCTTGAGAGCTGAGCTGAGGCATCTTTGAGATCCTTCACGAACCAAACTTGTGCTATTCTTTGTCCAGGTGCAAAAGCTATTTGCATATTACGAACTGCCTCTATTGTTCAGTTCAGACTTATAAAGTGCCACAAAGTGAAAATCTGTTCAAAATCACCTAATACTGTTATGGGAATTTCCTAGTATACCTTCCTTCTCATCCATATTCTATCCGCCTAATACAGAGAAAAGAATCCAGAGACAGAGCAGAGCAATATTCTTCAACATGGTATGCGACGAAGGTCATAAGATCACAGCTATGATGAAGAAATATGCGAAGAAATTTTGGAATACAGAATATGGATGAGAAAGAACATATATACTAGGAAATTCCCATAATAGACAAGGAACTGCAGAATGCAGTGAGCGTTTGTTCCTCAGACCGAGGCCAACAACTACCATTAAAAGTCTGCTGGAGGTCCGTCTCTCTTAACCTAAAATCACTAGCCAGTGGAGCAACTATTACTTTACAATTGGACGATAAAATGGGAGGAATTTGGTGGATATGAAAACAATGCAGCAGCAAAAACAATTTGCAGAGTTATCAGAGGAATATAAGCGGTTCTGAGAGACAAAAGGCGTTTCTCGCCAAACATAGTGCGGCAGTTTTTACTTTCGCATAATCAACCAGTTGTTTTTGCAAATACAGACATTTACTGTGGAACAACGTTAATGGGAACTTACCTAACTAAATAATTAACTAATAAGAAACAAATGGGGCCAAGAAGGGTTCAAGTAATATTAATTGGAGTCCAATTTAAGAAGAAAGCAGCGTCATTCGTACACCGAATGATATGCAGTGGCACCATTCCATCTTAGAACTAAAATGGAATTTACTGTAGCATCGCGGTTTAGGATAAAATTTGTATATGGATAGAAGGAAGAATGGGCGTAGGAGGCCTACTAAGCGTAAGACTGGGTCCAAATGGCACATCTACAATTACGTAACCAGGTAGACACATATTCTGCAAATAGATTCGGTATAATCCACACCCAACACGACAATTCTATCTAAATGGATGGTGTCAACGCAAATTTTCACCAACAATTTATGTCGAGTCTGAATTTTACAGTCCGCGACTGTGATCTTCCTTTTTCTAATGGGCAGTTAACTTCGCGGATTTCTGCAGATTTTTCTGCCAATTTGGGAGAGGTGCAGAAACGTCCATTGCTATTTTTTCTGGCTGATTTAAGTTTTTTATAATTTTAAATAATTTTTTATATTCTTTAATTTAATATTCCTTGGAATTTTTTATTAGAACTTTCGAGATGAATGTTTTTATTTTAATCAATTTTCATTTTCTGTAATTTTTTTTAAAAAAAATTTGTTTTGATGCAAATTATTTCCTTTTAAATTTCCCTTTTTACATTTTTTTAAGATAAATTTCAATAAACTTCAAAAAATTTCAATTATCAATTTTTATCAAATTTCAACTGTCTTTTCTTATTTTGTCGTTCGAAATTTTTTTCTTGTTTCTCTATATTCCACTTTTTCAAAGGCACCACCACTGCTGGTTAGACTCGCTCGGCCGGCTTGTCGCACTGGGTAAACTGCCGGCGGCTGCGCGCGACGGAAGTGCAGACGAGTCGCCAACATCACCCGGAAAAAAATTTTGTGTCCCATTAAGTTTTGCATTATTTTTTTTCGAAAACTCTGCACTTTTTTAAATGTTATTTGAATTAATTTTTTAAAATAAAACCCGAAAAACCAAATTGGTAGATTCATTTTCACGAGAAAGTTTTTTTTGGAGGATTTTAGGAAATATATAAATGCGAGCAATAGTTTCGGATTTACAACGAGCTGTATTCCAAGCAGATGATGAGCGGGTTGTTGCTGTCGCTAATATTATAAGGATCGGTACGAAAAAAAAGAAAAAACCAACGTTTATTTGTTTAGCTGGTAAAATTAGTCATTTCTCCTTTCCTTTTTTTTAAAGAGAAAAAGTGATAAAGAATTTGATTAATATTCATAAAATTTTAAGAAAAATCATATCTATATAATGTAGATATATATATATATATATATATCTATAATACATATCTTCAGTTAGCGAATTAGCCAATCAAAATTATATAATAATTAGTCTATTTATCAACTGAGTAATTAACAAAGAAGTAAAATTAAAAAGTCAGAACTGGAATATTGTTTAAAGTTTCAGTAACCACGGATCAACCAATCTCAGTGCGATTATATTTTGTGAAAAATGAAAAAGAAGATTTGTTCAAAAAAAAAGAACAATTCAATTTGAGGAATGTTAAAATAGTCGATGGTATCAATCCTCGCAAGGTTGCTTTTATCGTGATTCTCCTATTTTTTTAAAATTTATTTAATATTTGTAAGAATATAATGCATTTTGAAAGGTTGAAATTTTTCTTTTTTAAAGCTTTATTTTCAGAATATTTTATTTTTGCCAGAATATTTTTTGATTTTTGTAAATTTTTCTAGTATCTGCCAGAATTTGAATTAATTATTGGTGAACGGTTATATCGATTATGTGCTTCCAGTCCCGAAGAAAAGGATGCCTTCATTAAACAAATGTACAAGGTCGATTTTATTCATTTTGAATAAAAATGTACAATTTTTTCTCAAGAAATTAATATCATTTTCAGTTTTCATCAAAATATCTTCCTGTGCAGAAGCCAGATTTTGTCAATGTGCCAATCCCTGTTGATACTCCACATGTTACTGTAACTGTATCTGAGGTTGATGATGATGCTGAAGAAAATTTAGCTGATTATCAGGTTTTTTTCGCCTTCAATCTTTTTTATCAATAAGTGATTCCTAAATTTATTTTTGTTGATATGATCAGTGCTTCATCTTTTAATCCAGCGTTTTCCAACCACTGGTAGAATGTTTGAGTGTCAGTCACCTCAGCTATCTATCGATGAAGATGTCATGGAGAGTTTGTTTTGTTTCAGGCATTCTTTTAGCAGTTCATTCTTCATTCTTTCGTCCCATTTTGATGTTTTATACATTGCTTCTTCAATGGCTTCGCACTCCCAAAGCCTAACCCTCCTTCATTACTCTTTGTTTTGGAATTGGAGTGGAAATTTTCGTGCAGGATTTTTGGGTTCTCGTATCGGAAACCTATATCTTTGATAACACTTAGATGTTACTGTCTTTTTTTCTTCCTTGTGTGAGATATCGAGATACTTGTCGCTAGTTCTGGGTATATGCCTTCGTTATCACTCCATCAATCGCACTGTTCATCTGACCACACTTTTCTCGTGCGAATGGAGTTGGCTTCCCAATGTTCTCACTGATTCGTGGTGATAAATGAACCGGTCAGTATCTCGTTCGCTTTTAGCGCAACTTGTCATCCATGTAGAGAAGGCAGATAATGGAAGCTCTTGAATTTTTATCCATATCTATTTCTGGCTGAGAGAATTTAGAGTTTTAGAACAGCGGAGGGTACAATGATTTCACCTCCTTCAACTGTAGCACAAGGAACAGTCAGCGAAGTCATACGGGGTGGTATTAATATGCCTTTTAAGGATTATCTTGTAAGATGGAAGGATTATTTGAAACTAGAATAAAAAACAAACTGAAACCACTACAAGCCATCTGTTGGTCCATCATAAATCATAACAGAATCGCCATATGTTTACAGCCGACAGAACAGGTAATGATCTCTATCTCTATCATTTAGAGCTAATAAAATTTCTGTTGATGGTTTCAAATGTTGTCCATTCATAACGTCTTCAACAAATTTCTCTTCTATGGAAGAAAGAAATAATACCAGATGGTTGGAGCAAAGCAATTCTGCTCCCATTTTCCTAGAAGAATAGCAAGACATACTGTGAATTGCCTAAAAATCAGCTTGCTAGTCATTTCCGTTTTTCGCCATCGTTCTACTAAATAGGCTTATGGCAATGCGAGATAACAGGATTCAGCCTAATCAAGCTGGATTCGGATGGGACACGGTTGTGTTGACCTAATATTCAGGAGGGCGTTAAGGAGGATATTCGAATATCGGCGCTTACAGTCAATTTTTTCATCTGTCTTTGTCTTTGATTCACTTGATAGAGCAGTGGATTGAAGGTGATGAAATATATAGTGTTCCAGAGAAGAACATCCCATTCATAAAGGCATTTTATTACCGTGTATCGACATAAATTTGTGGAAGTATCAGACCCTTTCGAAATATGAACTAGTGTCTGTCAAGACTGCGTTTTTTCCTTTATATTATTCATCTGTGCGATAGATTCAATAAAGGATATCGCCATTCAAGAGGAGATAAATAAATAAATAGGAAGTAAATCAATTCAAGACATAATATCACAGACCTTCAATACGCTGATGATGTAGTCCTTTTTGCTGATAGAAATACAAATAATGCTGAATAATGTGTCGACTACTGCAGGGAAAGTTGGGCTCATAATCAACATAAATAAATAAAACTAAAATCTTTTTGTCTTATATACCAGAAGCTGATAAAATATCCTTTTTCATCAATTCATCCTCGTTTGGGAAAGTGCCAGACCTAGATATCTTGGATCCATTCCACTCCAAAATGATTAAGCGAAAGACGAAATTACAACCCGGATAACGGCAGGTAGAAGTGTTCTTACGGTTGATGAAACTTTATGGACTTGTTCGACTCTAGCAGTTTGAAAACGTCCTTACTCTTGCAACTAGCGGAAGAAGCCTAACCAGTAAAGGTGAAGAAAAAAAGAAGAAAAAGAAGAAAAAAAGCTAGACATTCACAGATCCATGTTTGGGACATTGACACTGTGGACAGATTGGTCTGTCGAGACCTTAGGTTTTGGGTAAATGTTTTATCTATGAACATTTCCTATGAACATCTAGCATTTGGAGCTTCTATTATTGTTCCCAATGCCCTTTGAACTGTACTGGTTCTTATATTGGTTCATATGGTTTTTAGCTTCGTGGCTATGATGCATGATTCTTTTGCATTGTGGAGAGGGTTTGGTATATTGGGTTATTGGACGGCATTGGTCCCTTACGAACATGTTTCATGGTCAGTGCGGTCCTTCCTGCGTTAATTTTTGTGGGTTAGAACTTGCCGCAACTAGCTGGCTCATCTATTGCTAAACGAATAAATGTGAAATGTGGTTCGAATCAGATGCTGTTTTTTTAGCTTTCTGTGTTTTTAACCGACTGTTCTATGCTACTACGATGGTAATTAATTTTCGCTGTGGTAGATCCTGCTCTGTTCTTTCTCCCCTTTATGTTCTTATATCGTTCTATTTCTGCTGTTGGCGCTATGTGAGAAGACATTTTGGATGGTTCTTTGAAAAACAGAGCATTTATCTTTTTGGCATCCCCTTCTCTGGTACATCTCCATAACCTGGTGGCCAGTATTTTGAATATTTTTTTACAAATCTCTAATACTTCTGATGGAGTGCAGTCCTTTTGTGTCCGAGTCCTATCCTTAATTTCCATATTTGTAATTCTATCAGTTGATTAATTTCCTTTCTTCTTTCTGTATTCAAGCATATCCAGATTTGCAGCGGTTTTGGCATATTTAAGTTCATTGGTTTCTACTATAGCACGAATTGTAATGAGGACTCAATTCAGAATTACATTTCATTAATATATGCTTTAAATGTAAATGTCAATTTTGCGATTTTTTCAGCCGATATCTGCAAAGGAGGAAGCAGATTTTAGACGTTTGTTAGCACGAGCTAATCTTACGATTGGTGATGCAGAAAAATTCGCAAGCATATTAACAGAGCAATTACAACTTTTGGATGGAGCAAATATTCAGTCCATAATGGATAGTGAAGCAGCAGTTAGCGATCTTATTGCTTTAATCGATAGAACCCTTGAAGAAGTTAATCATCTTGATGAACAGCTTGATGCTTTCGATAAACTGCTTTATGTAATTCTTTATTATTTAACAATATTAATCATTTTAAAGATTTATTTATTTTTTGGTATTTAGTTAATTTCTTCGAGTTTCTCAAATAAAAAGCGAATCATGATTTGTTGTCTTAAAAGAATCAGATTTCAGCATGTTCGTGACAATGTCGAAATCATTGAAGAAAAAGACAGTCTTGGTTGCGTTGAAAGAAAAAATATGCGAATTTTGCGTGATTCATTGGCAGAATTTCTCAGCGTCATTGAAATAGTTTCCGAAGAACATATAAAAATTTTACAGGCTGCGAATCTTTCTGATCCAACAAAGTTCGATTTATCAAGATTATTCAATTCTTAATCTAATCTTATTCAAATCTTCATTCAACTTGAATTTAGATAGTGTTTTCTTTATTGAATTTTTAAAAAATAATTTAAAAATTTTTAGCATAAGTCGATGCTGTGCGGCTGCTCGTGCAATGCAGACATTCTGGGCGAAAAAAGTCCATCCTTCATTGAATTTAATGCTGGCTTATAAGGAACGTACAGAATTATTGAGTGAACTGACCGATAGCTTTGTAGAAAAATTCATGGCTCACCTTTCTGCTTTATTTTTTAATTTAGTTGGTTTCTGCTTTTATAAAAGAATTTTCTTACAAATTTTCTCCTTATTTTTAAAGTGCTTTATCTTATCGTTTTATTCATAAATTTTATAAAAATAATTTATATTGTTTTTAGATATGTTTCTCTAATTCATGATCATTTCCTGATATTTTGAATAATTTATTTAATTCTAGAATGAATTAATCGATACACCAGATTGTCATGATTTAGTATTACGAAAACAGTCAGAACGGTTTCACGCCTTGCGACCATTTTCAGATCTCATTGGTTGGTTGAAAAATGTCAGACCTGTTGCTTATCAAAATATTATACAGGTTTATTTTTTTCATTTTGTTACTTTTTATTTGCATCTTACGAAATTATTTATATTAGTTAATTATTTTTATATTAGTTACCTTTCATTTTATTTTTATGCCCACTTTTATTCGGCTAATTTTAAAGTGATTTATATCAAATATAAGCTTTCAGAGGTATGTGCAAAATACGAAAGAAATTTACAAAAAAGAATTCGATCGATTTTTTGAGTCGCTTAACTATGAATTACAAAGGATTTCGATATCGGAGCGAAAATCTACCGGAGAAAATGCAGAAAATTTAAAAACAAGAGATAACAAATTTGATCGTCAAGCATTAATAAATGTACCTATTTAATGTAGTTTTATCATAGTTGAATTAGTTAAAAATTTTATTATTGCATTTTTATTTTTCTTTTGTCATGCTATTCAATTTTTTTATTTTTAACCTGTTTTTGAAGCAAATTCAATGAATAATTCAAAAAATAAATCGAGAACATTTTCAGCTAACTGAAATAATTTTTGGCGAAATTGGTCCAGTTGTTGGTGCTGAACAAAAATTCTGTTTACGTTTTTTCCATATCAGCGGCGAAATTTTAGCATCCGTTGATAATTCATCATCAGTTATTGGCGATAATGTTGATCGAAATCCTGACAAACAAATGTTCGATCAGGTTGTTATTTTTTAAAGAAAGTCTAATTAAAGAAAGTTAAAGAAAGGTAATTAAAAAAAGAAAATTCTATTGTCTTACTTTTGAATTCACTTGGTTAAAAATATAAATTTAAATAAAAAAATATGATTAAGTGTTTTTCAGATTAAATATTTATTATCTTCATTATTTGAATCCCTTCATGATCATTTTGACAAATTCATCAAAAAGTGTTGTGCGATTCAGCCATCGTTAGTTGAATTTTTTCTTTCCTTAATTCTTTTTGGTGTTATTTTTTTGTTTTAATTCTGGCTACTTGGCTGATACAATTCATTAGTTTCATCAATTTATTCTAATTAAAAATTTATATCAGTCAATTTTGTTAATAAAACTTTTGGAAAAAAGTTTTTTTCAGAATTATACTGGTTATTTTTGTGTTGTTATCTAAAAAAGCGCTCGGTTTACAAAATTCAACTTGTTTCTTCTCGGTGATGGTTTTTGGTCGTTTTGTTGTTCTCGTCAAGCGCCAGTTTGATATCTTTATGGTAAGATGGAATCGGTTTCTGAGGAGTAATTTTTCAAATTCATTTTCCTTTTAATATTGTGTATTATTACAGAGTTTATTGGGGATAATGTGCTGAATGTTGATGAAAAATGTTTTACAGGATTACGTATCCCATTATTTAATGGAGGTACGTATAACGAAGAAAATGAAAATTGGATTATTGGATTCAATTGATTATTTCAAAGTAATTTTGCTAATTCAAAAAGAATCTAATGCGATTGTTAGACGCAGCTAAAATTAGCTAAAATTAATCCTTGTGAAATTCTGTGGAAATCAGAATATAAAAATTAACAGAATGTAAAAATCAGATGAATATATAAAAATTTATGCAATATTAAATTGCAAGATAATTTTCCTTAAAATGAAATGAAATAACTGAAACATTCTAATGATGTGTGTCAAATATTTTTATCCATTCGTTTAATCAATCAATGATTTTTATAAGTTTATTTTAGGATGTAGCACTTACTGCTGAAGAAGCATTTGCTGATGCAGAGCGTAGAACAGATCTCGATCGTTGGTATTGTCAGTTATTAGCATCGTTAAAAAAAGGAATCGAACGTGCGGCAACTTCGCAGTATTCGAAATCGCCTTTTACCGTTGTTCGATTCGAAAATTACCATCATTTATTTTGTAATTTCTGTTCTTTCAACCATATTTCCATAATTATGATCGCTTTCTTCCCTATTACTTGGTATTTTCTTTAGCTGTGCTCTCAGAATTAAAAATCGATTTTTTGGACAATGAAAAGCGTGAAGCGAGGAAGGTTTATTTGGAAAATCTGGAATTATATGTTAAAAATTCAATGGGCCGTCCTTTAGAAAAAATTCATGTGAGTTTTGAGTTTCTTTTAATTTTTTCGACGTGTAAAAAATTTCAGTTTCCATTTTCAACAGTGATTCATTTTGAAATTTTGGTTTTACATAAATTATGAAATTTTTAGATTTTTTTTGAAAATGTTGAAGAAGCAATGCGCCGTGGTGTTAAAGCCGATGAAATCGCATTTCATCAACAATTTAGCAAATCTGAATTGAAAAAGGTTTAAAATTATCGTATAATAGAATAATTTAAATGTTAGAGTAATATAATTTTCATATTATATATATATATATATATTTTCTCCTTAATTTGCGTAATTGTCTACATAAATAAATTGAAAAATAATAAACTGTAGTATTGCTCTGATGTGATGTGATAGTTTTGTAATTTGATACATTTTTCAGGTTATATCACTTTATCCGAGTCGAGAGGTCAAAAAAGGTTTGAATCAACTTTATAAAAAGGCTGAGAAACATCTTGTAGATGACTCACAATTGCTTCAAGTCGTATGGAGGCATATGCAGGTGAATGATTGCCTTTCTTTGATAATTCAATAAATTTACAGAATTAGCTACAAACTCTCTATAAATAATGCTGTTTATTTTTTAGGAGGAATTCATTAAACAAATAAAGCATTATATTCAATTAATTGGACAGTGTTATCCTAATTCAAATATTGATCTTGAAGTATCGATAGAAGATGTTTTGAACTATTTCTCGCAATTTGCCTTAGAACACTAGAAAAATTTTGCATATTTCCCTTATGGTCATATAAAGCATATTTGGAAATTCATGAAAGATTTACTTTTTTCGTATTCATGTAGGCTGTTTCAGCCTTTTTTTTTCAGCTGGAATAATTAATTACGCTCGATTCTCGCTATAATATTCTTTACAGAAATTAATAAAAATTGTATTCAGTTGAGAATTTCTGTGTTTTTTTTTTAATTTTTAATTTTTTATATTTTAAAATCTTTTAATCAAAAATCAATGTTAATTTTTTTTCTCTTCAGAATTCCTTTTGAAAAAGTTAGATGCAGATAAGTTTAATTTTATTGTCTGAGGATATACAAAATATATTTTTGACAAAATTGGTCAAAAGTAGATAGGTTCTTAATATCCTCCACTCTCACTGGCCATTTTTCGCTGTTATATAGCAAGACTGTAGACGCAAAATTTTGTTTTGATGGTAATTTTACGGCGATTCCTCAGTGGCTTCGCCCGATGAAAGAACGCAATTCTTGCAATTTCTGAACATAATATTTTCTTTATTTAATATTTTATTTTGACTAATTTGGTAACTAATTTAAAAATGGGTTAAGACGAAGTTTTAAATATTTTTATGTTTTAATTTGCATAACAGTGTACTCTGTATATTTTCTAATTTTTTTCCAGTGAATTGTGAAATAAATGAAAAATTAATATTAGTTAGGAACATTGTATATTTATTATTTATTTAAAGCCATCTTGCGTGTGGAACTATTAGTTTTTTTTCTTGTGTGTAATTTGCTTTTTGTGTTTTTAACAGGTTAACAAATATTTCATTAATATTTGCTTCATATTATTTGACAAGTTTAATTTTCACTGATTTTTTTGTTGTATTTTTTTAAATTTTATTATCATTATATTAGAAATATTTATATTATAAACATTATAAATATTTATATAAATAATTAGAAATGAAATATTTTATTTAATATTATCGTCAATGTTATTTTAAAAAATAGTGATTTTGCAATATATTTTATGGCTGAATGTTGAATGTATTCAGCAATGATCATTAAAAAAATCTTTTTTCTTGGTTATCAACAACAGTAAAGTACCTAATTGCTTGAGAATTGCATTTTCTTTTCGCTTACCAATTTATTTCCGTTTATATGCCCGTGATTTGTTGAAGCGTTGGGTTGTCAAAATTTATAGATTTTTGAAAAATTCAAGTGATATGCGTGATGCATAGTCAGTGGCGTACTTTATTTAATTGTAATTTTATTTACTAAAAAATTTAGAAGAAACGCTATTTTTGGTTAATTATATGGTGTTGCCTGGCATATTTCATCAATTTTCAACTATGCGATAACTATGCGATTGACTCAGTAATGGACAACGCTTGTGGGCACTCAAGAGTTGTTCAAATTAGTCCAGAGCATCGTATTACAGATCTTGAATATACTGATGATGTAGTTCTTTTTGCTGACAATTATAACGAAATGCAAATACTGCTAAATAGTGTATCAGCGACTGCAGCGAGAATCGGGCTCAGGGTCAATGTAAATAAAACGAAAGCCTTTTCGTCTTATATGCAAGAAAGATGATAAAATGTTTTTTTATAAATTCATTGCCGGTTAAGGAAGGTTACCCCATTTTGAAATACCTTGGGTCCACTCTAATACCAAATGGCCAGGCAAAAGATGAAGTGCTCGGATAACGGCAGCAATTACAATTATGATCCGGTTCACGTTCTTCCAGTTGACGAAACCTTTATGGAGTCTTCGTGAAATCACCAAAAAACGAAAGTCCACATCTATATACCGTGATCCATTCGATCTTGCTGTATGGTTCTGAGACATGGCCAATGAGAGTAGAGAATGTTAAGAAGCTATCTGCCTTTGACCATTCTTGTCTAAGGTACATTTTGCGGGTCTATCGAGCGGATATATAATATCATATGATCGCATCCACCTTCGTTCAAATACCATTTGCATTAATAATGTTATCACTGAGCGTTGCCTTCGCTGGTTAGGGCCTCCCTTGTCCAATACAGGAGTTGACGCATATTTCGTTATTTGCTAAACCGTGTGACGGTTGGCGTCAAAAGCGAGGTGGGCCAATCAAGACCTGGACTGATACGGTGGGAAAAGATTTTGAACGTATAGGTGGGCCAGCAATATATGGATTTAGACGATGGAAAAAGGAATGGCTTCTATCGTTAACGATAGCATCAGACCGTGCCGCTTGGAAGCATCTTGTCCTTATAGTCGTTGGAGCCACGCTAACCAGTTCTGGTAAGAGCCGTTGAAAGAAGAAGAAGAAGCTGCCTGGTGGATTATTCCACATATATTTTTTCTCAATTTTTTCTTATGTTCCAATTATTTAAAGGAGAATTAAAAATTATTTTACATCCAACTATAATTTAAGTAACTCAATTTTTTAATATGAGACGTTCGTCATCATCCATGCATGAGATCTGATTTTTAATAAAGGAATGAAACGTTTTTTTTTCCAAATATTCCATGCGATATCAAATTCTGCGAAAAATTCATTACATGAAAATTAAATATTTGTCATGCTACAATGATCATTATTTCAGGATAATTACACTGATTACATGTTTTAATGCACATATTTAGAATCAGTTGAACATAGATATACAATTGGGCTCATTCTTTCAGGATTTCCATGTTTTCACTCGCAAATTGATTAACAACCATCAGGAATCAAATCTGTGGTGCCCTATATTAATTGAAATAATACATATAAACCGACCAACCACTCATCTTTTCCTTCCTTTTAAAGACAAGTATATTATTATTATTATAGATAAAAATAAGAAAGTGTTGAGAAAAGATATTTCTCCATCAGTCAGTAAAAAATCCATTTAGTGGAAAATTTTCACATAATAAGGTTTGCAATAATTTTAAATGAGATTTGAATTTCAGAATTACTAAATAATTATTTATAATATTATAAGAAAGAACTGAGAAAATGAAGGAGGTAAATGCTAAGCGAAAAATATGTCAAAAATATTTTAACGATTCAGTTTAGAAACAGCTGTGTTTCTAGAAGAAGGGATGCGATGCGGTTTTGAGCCACGGGTTGAGCTTGCAATTCGAAGGACATTATTTTTTTCCATATTTTTGTTTATTTATCTTCTATTTGGTGCTTTGATATTTGCAGTTCTTCCACGTACTCACCAAAATATTGTAAGCCACTTTTTCTTTTTATCGTATTTTCTTTCGAGGAATACGTTTAAAAAGTTTCCGATCTTTAATATAATTTGGTTTATTGTTTTTAAAATTAAGCGATTAGATTCACTTATTAATTGTTATTAGTAAAATGTTAATACTAAACGTATCAGATCGATAGCGATTTTTGTAAATTCCATTGCAATAAAAAATAAAGCCGAAGAGAATTCAGCGAATGAACTACTCCACTATAACATAAAAAATTGTATTTAAGTATCCGATAAAATAAATAGGCGAGAAAATTTATTCGAAATTCCATGATGCGCCAATCATTAACAAGCTTTTTGGATTTGTACGAAAGGATTTGGCCAATTTTATAGATACAAAATATCAACTTTTGCATTTAGTATAAATTTATTTCTCATTAATCAAAAATATAAAAGCAAACAGAATAAACGGCAAGGATGAAGAAAGAATTATTTTCACGAAAATGGGCTATTTTTTAAATATTTTTTTTCATAACTTCAGGATAAATATTTTAAGATGTAGGTGATAGAAAGTATGATGGCAAGATCTACAGAATATTCTGATCTTTTCATCTCCTGCTAACAAGCACTCAATCTTTCAGGTTTAATTGGCTGTTAGAGAAGTCCTTCGCTATGGAGTTATTTTGAGATATGAGAGGCTATGGATTCTCGGCAACAGCCAGATTTCAATTGATAGATTTACTCAAGAATCGGACCCATAATGACTTGACCTTAGTCGAAAAACTACTCTACTCATATGTAAATCTATACATTTAGGATGGTCCTATAGAAGGCTATCTTATTATAGTTTTATTAAAATTTCGGGCGAACTTTTTTTCGCAATAAATTGGATCTTATTATTGGTTTAATGGAGAGACAAAATAACCACACTCGATAGTGAACTCAAATAGCAGCAATAATAATGAATCGTAATTACTTTCTAGAAGATTTCAATTAGTGAGGTATCACAATGGTGAACCCTACATCACCATTGCTTCTCTTCAAATTGTTATTTGATGGAAGGTAGTGATGCAAAGTGGACAATTCGTGGAATTTCTCGCTTCGTATTATTTATGACATCTTCAAAGCATCTTTAGGATGACGAACATAGCCCGGAACTTGTGTCATCTGTAGATGAATGAAGAATTTCGCCTTGGAATCTCAGTACTTGAATGCTGAGCGAATACCGAGAAGGAATAAAGAAAACATTTCCATCTGTGCGATATTAGCGTGTGCTTTGAATGCAAATTGGCCACGCTCAATGAGATCATTTGGGATGAGCAGTCCAACACTGAACAAATCATAGTAATCGAGACTAAAAAATTCAAAAAACTCAAAAAAAACTCAAACTAAAAAATTCAGGGACAGTGAGCGTGAGAGCGAATTATTGAAGCATCTCAATGATACAAATATCAATGATTTTTCTGGAACAGCAAATGAATACTGGTCCAAACTAAAGGAATGTTTCCGAAAATCAGCCACTTCCACGCTAGAGCATACTAATAGGAAGTGCGCTAGTTGGGTATCGGAACTCTCCAATTGTCTGAAAAAGCTGCCAAAGCGCGAATGTCAGGTGATCCTGACTACCGGGTGCCTCGAAGATTTGCAACGAAGGCAGCAAGGCGGGACAGAAATCTCTATTGGAGTGACATGGCCTCAAGAATGGAGGCGGCGGAATTAGGCGACAGTAGGAAACTATTCTGCCTTCTTCAACTAAAGCAACTATGACCCGGGGAACGATTAGGAAATGGTAAGGAAATGGACAGCAATGGTGTGCCGATGAAGAGTATTAAAGACCTTTTTATAAGATGGAAAGAATTCTTTGAGGCCAAACTTAACCATGAAGCCCCATCTGTTGCCCCTGATATAACTGATACGTTTGCTGAAACATATGCTTGCAATTGCGAGCCTCCAACAGAAGAAGAAATAATTTCCGTTATCCATAAACTTAAGGCAATAAGACTCCGAGAGAAGATGGTTTTCGGTCTGAACTCTTCAAATGCTGTCCATCGTCCTTCATAAAGTATTTTCAACAAATGTACTTTCTGCTATGGATGAAAAAAATATTACCAGATGAATGGAGCAAACCATTTCTGCTCCCAATTTTCAAGAAAGGTGATAGGACAAACTCTAACAATTACAGAGGAATCAGCCTATAGGACGTCTTAGCGAAAATTTTTTGTTTCCTTTTTACTCAGTGGGAGTACTGGACAACAGGATGCGCCCTAATCAAGCTGGATCCAGACCTGGGCGCGATTGTGCTGACCAGATATTTACGTTAAGAAGGGTGTTGGAGCATCGCTTCAGATATTTGCAACCCACTGTTTCACATGTTTCTTTGCAGCTGTATTTAATTCAATTGATAGAACGGCGCTTTGATGGAATGCGACGGTGTTCCAGAGAAAATCATTCGAAATGTAAATAATGCTAAACAACGTGTCAACAGATACAGCGAGAATCGGAACCAGGGTCAATGTAAATAAAACGAAAGCCTTTTCGTCTTATATATTTCCTCTTTTTATAAATTCATTGCCGGTTGAGAAAATACCGATTTTAAATACTTTGGGTCCACTCTAGTACCGAATGGCCAAGCAAATAATTAAATTATAACCCAGATAACGGCAGCTAGAAAAAAGAAATGTTTAAATAAAGGCTGATGTAACCTTCATGGACTCATCGCTAAATGACTAGGAAAAATGAAAGCCCCCTTCTATATAGTCGAGATTCGTTCGAGCTTGCTATATGACTGCGAGATATGGCCAATGAAGATGGAGAATATTAAGAAGTTATCTATTTTTGACCACATGTTTAAGGTATGGGTTCATCGAGTGGATAAAATCTCACGTGATTACATTCATCCTTACTCAAATACCACTTACATTAACAGTACTACCACAAAAGATCATCTGGCATTGCGGTTATTGTATGTCTCGCTTCTTTGGGGAATGTCTATCTGAAGATGATCATAAGTGGCTTATCATCAGTTAGCCAACCAATCTGTACTAAAAAAAGAAATCAACCATCCAAGAAAGACCGAAAATTTTTAAGTCTTTTCAGTTTTCGTTAAGAAGATTATGTTTCTCAGATTTCATTAGTGCGTTTTATAACTAATTATATCTTAAAGCTTCTTAAGATTTCCCAGTTGAAAGCGAAAAATTATCTTAAAGTTTAATAGCAACACTCTGGAAACTTTCATCACTTTGAATAATTTCATGGAAAAAGGCCCAAAAAAAGATGTAATGGACGGTGATTCAAATTCTACTGATGGGCAAAAATTTACATGTACTTACAAATAATTCCTTTTTGGACTGTTTACTTACAAAAGACTTCTCTTTACTTTTATAATATATCAATTAACATCTTGAAATAACCGAAAATCTTTCTTTTTTTATTTTTACACTTTGGAAATAAGATAATTAACATACGATAATCAACTTTCCTCGGCTCCTTTAATTTTTTACGAACAGACTTTCAATTAATGAACTGATTTTATTTTTAATATATTTTTCCTACTTATTTTATTTTTTTCTTCCTTACTATAAATTTTTAAAATTTCTTAAATACTTTTATTTACTTAATATATGTTTCTTAATAAATTGTACTGATTCCTATGTTTTTCTATTGAATCAAATGCATTCAACGTTCAATTTTCGTCTCAAAACCCACAATTCATAAGTTATCAGAGATTCATTTAATTTCATCGAAAATATAAGAAACTTTTCAATAAATTTGCTTGTCACATTTCATATTTTTCATTTCTACAGCATTGTGAGAAAAATGAGGAGAAGTTGGATGCACAACGAAGCGAAATACTAAACGTTTTATGGGCAGAAACGATGGCACAATCTGAACATGATTGGTTTCAAATGGCCAATAGCAAGCTGGATATTTACGAGAATTCACTGCTTTCATCTTGTCGGAGGCTTCCATCAAGTTCAAGATCATTTTCTCAGTCGTTTATGAACTCTTTCTTCTTAATTACTACGATCGGTTAGATTTAATCGGTTACTTAGTTTTTTATCGGTTTTTTTTTCCTTTTAAGAGTTCACACCATTCTTCTTCTTCTAACAGCTCACCATTACTGACTAAGCTGGCTCCATTGGTTACAAGAGTAAGACGTCTCCAATCTGATCAGTTCGACGCCATCAGTCTGACGCTAGTAGTAATAGAAACCATTCTTTTTTCCATCGTCTAAGTCCATATATTGCTGGTCTCCCTATAGGTTCAGAATCTTTCCTGTCAGTCCAGGTCTTGGCCCTCTCTTTTGGCGTCAACCATCACAGGGCTTAGCAAATAACGAAATATGCGTCAACTCGTGTGGTAGACGACGGAGAACGTGCCCTAACCAGCGAGGCGACGCTCTAATGCTCACACCATTGCTAATTACGTTTATATTTAATATTTCTTGGTTTCATTTCATATTTTAATTTCTTAGAATGTAATCAAAACTTAGGAAGTGAATATTTTGGATCGCAAAACAATTATTTTAAGTAAATAGGGAAAAATGGTTAAGTGATAGGCAGTGGTACTTCGGCTGAATTTAAGCATCATTGGTTCCAACTTTATTCCTTGAGAAAAGGCTGAATGAGCTGGTAACCTATCTGCTACACTTTTTTCCTCAAGTGATTCGCTTTCGGAATAGTCTCAGTAGCCATAACTAAACCGAAAATATCGAAAACTGTTAAAAATGATTAAAATAAATAAGTTGATTAAGAATCCATTGCAAAGATGCAAAACTTGTTGTTTCAGGGTAAACATAAAAATTATTAAATTTCCCATCTTTCTTCAGGTTTTAATGAAGGTGAAAATTTTACATCTGTTGGTAAAATTTTTACGATCCTGTACGCCACTTTTGGTATTCCATTGGCTTTACTATATCTTAATCAATGTTCAAAAATGATTTCTGGTTTATTACCTGGTGATCGAGTGATTTTTGGTGCTGTTATTGTATTATTTTTTAACGCAATTGTTTATGACATTGCACAAAAAGGTACAGATGATACAGTAAGTGTTCCGTGAAATTTATAACTAACGAACATTAAAAAACAGAGTATAAAAATATTTTTAAAATGAAATTTTGTTCCTTCTTTGGAACTCAGTTAATTTTATTCCTTCTTCATCTATAATTTTCTACAATTTTTTTTCACAGCTTCTTTTTTCCATGTTTTTTTCGATATTTTCATGAATTAGTTTTTTCCTCATTTATATCTCTTATTCAAGATTATATTATCAAGATTATATTATATTATATCATTTTTATCAGTTATCGATTATTGCTTATAATATTAAATAATATTATATTATATAAAATAATATTTTAGCCATTCATTGATGCAGTTTATCAAGTATTTCTAACGCTTTCAACAATTGGTAGCTGTAATTTTAGCTTTACAACGATATTTGCATTGATATCATTATGTGCTATATCGCTGATGTCTATTTCATTTGTCTTTATTCAACGGCGTATCGAACTTTTATTACAAGTACTTTTAAAATCCTTTAAAATTTTTAAAACCATCAGATACAAATAAGTCAAAATAATTTCCAAATCTCGTATAATATATAATGAAATTTTACTGATCGGCACATTTGGTTGGAACATTTCATTTTATGCATTATCGTAGATATCCTACTAAACTTCTCAAGAATGCATTAAAATATCGTTGTGCTCGGATTTGAAATACCAAAAAATTTTAAAATAAGTTGTAGAATTATGAGATCTTATTCGCAAAAAATTTTGCAATCATACGACGTTGGATTGCTAAAGAAGTCGAAGACACTGGCCGTATAATAGAAGAGGATGCCGAGGAGAGTGAAACCGAAGAAGACGAGGATTATTGACTTAATCTGGTTCATTGTCTAATATTATCATGGTTTATTCCATTTATTTTCTTAATGTTCCAAATGCTCGATTACAGTTTTTTGCAGTATTATTCTCGGTTTTTTTGAAATCAGTTCGATTTTTAATTTGTCGAAAGGAATAAAATAATAAGGAAAGATTGGCTGAAATAATACAGCAAAAATTTTATGAACTCTCAAGGGATATGCGGATTAATTGCAATTATCAATAAAAGCTATAGTAAATAAAGCTATAGTAATTTCAAGGATATTCAATTTAAACCAGATATAAACCAGATAAATTTAAATAATTAAATACGAGAATTGTAGAAAGAGATGGATGAACTCTTGGAAGTGAAAGGAAGTAGTTGGATTCTTATCTTATAATAGAAATTGAATGATGGCAGAAATTCCAAATTTACTATTTTTGTCGAGTCGACTCAAATAGATGAAAAAATTTTATTAGAAATGTATATCAAAGTCATATTTGTTAAAAAATTTAAAGATAAAAAGTTTTTGACATGCATTTACTTAAAATATTGAACAAACTAAAAAATAATAATTTTTAAAGGTGGTGCGATGAATCGAAATCATTTAAACGAGTCATTCCGCGCTTTTTTACGCGTTAGAAACAATTACCGAGGAAGATAAGCGATATTATGTTATGCGCTTAAATCTAAGAAACAATGAACGAAGAAATTTATGTTTTTCTTCGTTTAAATTTTGACTAATTTGAAGGAATGAAGAAAAGGATTCCATCGGATAGAATCCCTACACGATCAGCCATGTTTTTTTTGAGGAATAAAATCTCAACATTTTCAGGCTAAGAATTAATGAAATTTAGGAAATTTATTTTTAATAAGAAGCAGCATATTTGTTATAAATTTTCGAAAAATATTTGTGATAATAATACAGTTTATATTAAGTGAACAAGAAAAATTAAAACTAATTAAATGAAATAATAGAAGATCCCTATGAGAAGTATTTTGGGGAATTATTCAGGTCTTCTTCTTTGCATTTTGTTTATTTCTTTATCGTAACAGGTTTGATTTTCAAAGCTGAAATCGATATGTATGACAGGCATCTCTTCTAATAATCATTTTTGGTTCACCTGGCTTCACTTAGAAACAAGCCATTTCACACCAGGATGCCATTTAGAAGTGGAGGTGCATGTAGGTCCCCAACACCACACAATATGGTAGTTATGCTTATTAAAAATTGAGCAACCATTTATCAATATTAAATTGAAATGTGAATTCTATTATTGAAAATAAGCAAATGTTTTACTAGTAATTATTGGTATAAAATGAAATAAATAAATTCTTTTCGGAAATTCGTTCTTCAAAAATCATTTTAAGAAGGAATCTTCATCATCTTTACGCGTGCAGAAGAACTTTTAATTACCAGTAATAAAAATATCAATTGAATAACATCATAAGTTGTATGCAAACGAATGAGCATTCATTGTGTGTCGTTTTTTTCTTATTTCAACCGGTTGATTAGTTTAAAATTTCAAAATATCCGTCGTATAATTCATGAAATATATTTAATGCCCATTCGAAAACATGAAAAATGCATTGGTTAGTGTTAAGGCCTAACCCGTATTTGACCTAGCAATGATTCTCTGACAGCATTATATAATAAACGCTGTCGTTCAGCTTCTAAGTTTATCTTTTCATTTTCTTCTGCTTCTTTTTGAGGATTAGAGCATTCATTCAGTAATACGGATGAGGATGATGCGTGTCGAACCAATTTGGTGAATGAAAAACAACGTTTTTTTTTTTTGAACTGTGATGGATCTTGAAAACGACCCCGTCTGAATCAAAAAAAAAATTACAAATTATTTCAAATTTCTAAAAAAAATATTCTGTTGAGAAAATAAATTCTTTACAGTCCAAAGTGCTATAAATTTAAAAATATCACAAAATGCTATATAAGTTATGGAATTAATAAAATATATTTGTGCTTAACTTAAATTTTACACAGTCAGTTTATACAACACAACCACTGTTTCCTTATTGGAAACATTAACTACTGGAATAGGCTATTCGTAATTTTTGTTTCCTTCCTCTAGTTTTTAAAAAAAGACCTCATTATTCATGAAAGCTTTAATTTCAATCTCTACTGTTACCAAAGGAATTGATATATTTTCATCTCTTTTTTTTATCAATATTTCTTCTAATAATGATCAACAAATTTGCCAACGGTTCAATAGTGTTATTATTTAGTATCATTTATTTAGTAGCATTAAAAGCAATATCGCCTAGTTTTTTCTTACAAATAAGTTATTAGAGAGGTTACCGGTTAAAACCTAAAAATAGATAAGGTCGCCATGCAGATTGAAGCTGAGTATATCCTGATGGTGTTATCCTCTCTCGAAAATGGCATTTTTCATCCAAACCATCTCTCTAAAGATTTTCTAATTTCCGATTCATAATTTTTGCAATAAAATACAAAGAAATAAGTTGGAATTTTTTTTAACGAATTGTTTTCTTTCTTTCTTCGTTGGAATACTTTTTACAGTGGTTTTCAATATATAATTACATCGAAAATCCCATTCAATTTTGCTCATTTGTCCTCGATAAAATTTGAAGAAAAAAGTTGATGAGCTATGTAACGGTATAATTAAATTTATTAAAGGAGACTTGCGATTGAGATATTGTATTCGTCAAAAAATGAGAATAAATCACTGATAGAGCGAAAAATTTTGTGGAATATGACAAAAAATGGCATTTCGAATTTTGACAGATTTGCTAAAATTTATCAAATTGTTGAAAAGAGAGATTCTTCTGGAAAACCGAATGAAAAGAAAAAACTTACTCGTATGGCGATTCGTTGGCGTTTATTGAAACAAATGAAATTTTCCGTAAAGATATTTTTTAGCCTTAAACGATGCTTGGAATCAAATTCAACAATGAAGTCAGCTGAAAAATGTTTCAGGGATAGAGATTAAGAAAGATAAATTTGCTGAAATCTCTGATTTCTTCTGTTAGCGTTTTTATGCTAAAAATATGGGAATCAAAATTGGCTGTAATTGAAAACTTTTTCTTAATGAAGCGAACTATTTACGAACTAATTGCGGTCATTAATGCACAATCTTTGAATGCTTGATCTATTTATTGGATTTGAAAATTTTATATTATCAGACTAATAAGTGTCTTCGAATTCTAATTTTTTTGTTGAATTATAAAAGATTTACTATAATTTTAGAACATACTTAAACAATGACTTGCTTGATGTCCGCTAGCATCAGCATGCTTAAAATATGTTTGAACAAAAGCTGAACTACAGTGGTTGTATAGTTGCCAAATTATTGATCCGTTAGCAAATTTGTTGATCATTATTAGAAGAAATATTGATAATAATTTGCTGGAAATTTTATATATCATCGAATAAAATATGTATCACTAAAATTTTTCTAATTTTTGAATAAATCGCTTTGATTCAATAAATATAACAAACTTTAATAAAAGTGATATGTCTCATTTAACAAAAATGGTAAAATATAAAATTTTCTCGTTCCCCGAACAATGCAAAATATAAACCTGGAATGATCGATATCTAAGGAATACAATAACGATTTTTTTTGATTCATTTAACAAAGGTGATTGCTAATGCTACAAACATCTTCAATAGTAAAATCATTAACAAAGATAAATTAATATGATTTTTACGATAATGAGAAGACAATGCCGCAATGTGAAATAAGTTCAAAAAAGTCTGGATAGCACTATTATGATATGAAAATCCAAATATCCTGCAAATATCTAAATAAATTATTTGGGTTCAATCTTTGTTCTTCTTTTGAATAGAAAGACTATTCAGTTTTTAATTCGATGATATGTATTAAGTAAAAGGGGTTAGCGCTCTTATCATTTCTGTTTAGGACATTCATTAAAATGATTTAAGACAGAACCAATCATTAAGCCCAACACGAGTTATTTAGCTATTTACCACTCGATTATTATGTCTAATTAGTAATAAATAAATTCCTCAAACTCAAATAGTGAAAAATTATTCTGATCGGATTTTCGCAAAGATATTCAAAATTAAAACTGCGAACTGCGAATCTTTCGGAGCGAATTTTTTGTGAAATTTTAAGAAAACGTCACTTGGAATTTATCTACTTCAAATAGAACTCTAAATAATCAAATGTTCATATTTTTCTAATGAACAAAATAGCATTCTTGAAAAAATGAATAATTTTAAAAATAAATGAATAATGAAATTTTATTGATATGAAATTTGATTATTACGATGACTATATGCCTTCAAATTTTATTAATGATTTCACATCCTTATCTATCACCATCAATTCTATTCAGTTTGGTATCATAGCTTTACTGGCTCTAAGATAAGGTCCTTCAGCCATTTGTACTGTATAAATTTAAATTACTCAACACTATTCTTTTTTTAGTTAAATAAATGGAATTCATTTAATTGCAATATGATTAAGATAAAACCATTCATTCCATCATTTTTAAATACAATCATTACTTCTTGATATATTCATTAATAAATTTAATTGGCATATAATTTGATAAGAAACTACGAATGTAATTTAATATATATATATACAAAACAAAAAATTCGCTATATAATTCAGTAATTAGTGAATTATAGTGAAATAAATTATTTCCTCAATCAATTCGCTTTTTTTGAAAAATAATCTTTGCTAGTCGACAAATTTCTCTAAATAATTTATAAATTAATTAAATTAACTTCAACTTCAACCCACGATGGATTTACGAGGACTTTGGAATATATCTGCGAGTTTTTATGAAATAAGTGGGTTTTTTCATCAGTTTTGCGAATATTGCACTAGTTAAATTATCGAATTTACTTAATAATTAATACAGAATTGATAATGGCTAAAATCGAAAATGAACTGATTTTTTTTTTGCCGATTGATTCCCAACTTTTTCCGAATTGCATTTACCTAAAATTTTCTCAAAATTAATCCGCGTTGTATACATTATTTGGCTCTACCAAATTAAAATTTTAAACCAAATACTGTAACATTCAACGAATAAAATTGCGACTGATGTATACTGTAAATTAAATGAATACAAGTTTTAATGCGTTACGATGAGAAGACGCTGATCTTTGAATAATGTTGATAAGAGAGTTGAACTTATTAGAATCGAAAAATTTTAACCATTTTGATAAATTGTTTTGTAGAATTTCTTTAACTTCAAAAATTATGCACAACAAGAGTAAAACCGAATGAAGGGAATCCCCAAAGTTCCCTATGGATCATAAAATTACTCATATGGATCATGAAATTTAGTAGTATATTGGATATCAAATCTGTTGGAAATAACTAAATTTTCTGTAATTGTGGATATTCTTATAATTCTTTAGAGAAGAAAGAAAATGAATTTTAAAAAAACAGTAGATAAAAAATAGTATAGATTCAGGTTTGACGTTAATGAATATAAATATTTTATAAATGGAAATTCCGGACTCGGTTAAATGCAGTGAATTGAAGTATTAGTAATATGGAAGAAATTTGGACTTTATAACAATCGTATATATATATATATGTATATATTTTTCTAATTATACGCAATGAATAGCATGAATTTAAGGCCCGTATTTAACTTAATTTATACTAAGAGAAGCGAATAAAAATGCTAAAAAACGAATTGGATTTGGTAAAAAATTGGAAAAAAATATATCATGTGGAAGCTTTTTTTGTTTGAAGGGGAAGAGAATGCATGTTTTAAATGTTATTCGTATAAAAAAATTATTATAAGTGAGAAAAAATTTAGTTTGATCACCTTTCCTATGATCACCTATGATTTGCAGTTAGAAATTGAATCGAAGAAATTTCAGAATTATGGAAAATCTGATTTTGATTAATTAATAAGTTAAGTTAACCTAAAAAAAAATGTTCTTTTACGTGCATTATTTGTTTCAAATAGCCGGAAAAAAGAAATAAAAAAGTGGAAATTCTTCTAATTTTTATTAGAAAAAATAAGATTAAAAGGAAAAGATAAACTAAAAATATAGTTCAAATGTTTCTGATAAATTGTTCTCCATAATTTACGACTTTTTGTGAATGAAGAATGGTCGGTCGGTCACACGCATAGATTCTTAAAGATATGGAAATAGAAATCGTTGACAATGAATTATTAATTAATCGATACACTGATTTATAAAGGTGATGGAAAAGATTGCAAAATTCATTCATTCGTGTGATGACAGTTCAAATCGATAAGATCATATAATTCTGATTAAATAAGCTTAGAATCAAGGGCAACGAATCAACAAATCCCGACGATTTGTTGACTTCTTCATTCTCTCGAAGTATTCCTTCATTCACTTGTAATATTAATACTAAACTAAAATACTAAAAATTACTGAAGATACTGAGGAAATAAAAATCATTATTCCATGTGCCTCAGCATTTGCATATCGCTCACCATTTCTTATTTCATTCAACAAATTCCATTCATCAATAGAATGCGACTTTTTTTTCGCAGAGAAGTTATTTAAATTATTAGATGTGCAGACTGGATTTAATGACAACTTCCGCCAAGGAATCTAATTTGAATTCATAATCGAAAGTAATTGAAAAATTAGTCGGCCATATTGCACCAGAAACACTGCATCACTTTTCATTTCTGAGTTTTAGCACGATCTGTATTCATTCCATATTCCATTTGCAAAGAAAACGGGTATTCTTGGTATGCAAATTAAATTTTCACAGTTATTTCCATTTCTTTTCAAACATGCGCAAAGAAAACAATGCAGTTTCAAAAATTCCTCAAGAAATAATTGATTTAGATAAAATTCTTTCAACAAAAATCTGAGAACATATGGTTCAACACAAAGCCTTTTTTTTGATAATTCGATTCTTTTTGTACTTCATGATATAACGGTGCCCGTCAACTTGGTAAATGGAATATGGAATAGAGATTCAAGACTGCCCGTCAACTTGGTAAATGGAATATGGAATACAGATCGCGTAAAAACTCTAAATGTTCCAGTGTTTCTGGTGCTATGGCCGATCAAATGTAGCGAAAGTAAGAAATGTCAACTTTAATAGAAAAAAAGAGGTTTTATAGAAAAATTGGATTGCAAATGAGGTAGGTCCGATGCAATTAATTAATTTTGTCATATCGAAACAATCATTAAAATACCGCAATAGTTTTAGATGCATGATGAGCCTCTAGAAAAATGCGAAATTCTGAATAGAATTTTTTTAAAAATTTTTTTCAACAAATAAACTAAAATATCGTAGAAATACATAATAAATCCTATAACAAATCTATTAATAATTATGCTGAAAATTTTAATGATTTCTCGACAATTATATTTTTATAATTTATGATTATTATTATTGGTATCAGGTAACAAATTTTTTTTCTAAGATCACTCATCATTTCTGGTTCGCTCTGCTGGCTTGTTAAATTGTTGCCAAGAAGACATTTTGCGATAGAATTACAATCATTAGTACTCCAAATTTTTGAGAAATAGGCTCACTCCTGCCAGGCTGAAGGTGGAATCCTTGCATTAAATCATAGCAACAGCCTATTGATCCAATAAATTATATAATTACTTATAATCAATTATGAAAATTATTTTTCAGAAATGGGAAAGTTCAGAGAAAAAGTATTAGTGAATTTTTTCGCATCCATTTTGCTCATCCATTTTTTTGCGGATAAAGTTTTTAATATGTTGTTTGATTTCTTTGTTGTACTTAATTAGTTGAAGCAATAGGAAATATTTGCTTAAGACACTATTGTGATATTTATTTTACCTGAATGAGTAAGCAAATACATCGGATCGATTGGTTCGGGTCACATAGCCGATCAACATCACTTAGACATGATGGCGAAACAAACTTTGCATGGCAGTGCTGAAAACAAAGACCACATAGAAAATGATATAATAAAAGTCTGCGTTTAGCAATACGAGTTTAACAAGTTGATGGCTTACAAGTATTTCTGGAATACTTTCGAACTCCCGATTTATATTTATAATATTATAATATATTTCAATCGTTCAGTTAGCCGACGCATAAAGAAATGCATAATAATGATTATAGTTAATAACAATTAAGTCATTAATAATAATAATAGTAATAATAATAATGATAATAATAATAATAACAACAATAACAATAATGATAATAACAAGACGAGCTAATGAACAAATGGCAAATTTTTATCATTTTATCCTGATTTTTATTAAAGGATAGGAAGAAAATTCATGTCTGACTGTACTCGAAGTAACAAATTGGATAACCAATTTTCATTAGTTAAATGTTATCCAAGCTTAAGCTTATTAAAATAGCCATTATAACTACTTTACATTAAAGAAAGACTACAAG